TAACATGGACCTTGTGTTAGTTTTTGTTAAATTATTAAACGATTTAAAAACCAGTTCCAATAAAAAAATAATTACTTAATTTAATAAAGCCCATTAGGCTAACGGCTTAAAATTGGAAACTCATTGTCGTAATTATGTTTATTTACTATTATTATTAAAAATTCATTGTAATTGCTATTAATAGAAGTGTGAATTTTACAATGATTTATGATGATATATAAAATAAAAAAGTGTCCTTAAAACCGATCTTGGAAAGTTTTTACGTACGCCACGCGAATGTGAACTATTATTCAATTAGTAAAACAAATTTTTCACAAGTGTATACAAATATATTGTCAGTTCATCTTACTTGTTCTCTGGAAATAGCAATGGGAGTTGGGTAGATTATCCAGGTAACACTTTCGCAGAATGGGGCGGTAGTCAATGAGCCTTGGTATGTGTAGTAACCCTTACAGTTGGCTTGTTCTTTGAACCATAAGAGACAGTCTGAAGGAACACAAAGCATTTACGAATAAAGGAAATTTAGATTGTATTTGTGGTTTGTCTTACCTGGTGGAATTTGGGTTTTGGAGTTGACCTTATCAATTTTTTTCGTGGCTTCGCACATCTTTTCAAACAATTCATTCTTAGAATCGTCGGTTGCTTGAAGAAAGAACGCTACCACAGCGAGTCCGTCATGTTTATCGACGGCTTCCTTAAAAGAATTGTACTTTTGATTGTAGTGAACAGCATGAGCTTCCATAGAATATCTGCGTGAAGATAAACATACTTTTATTTATTATTGTTTCACCGAATATCTTTCGCGAAAGTATTATGAACCGATTTCTTTTTGATGGACACTTACGCTCGTCCTTCGAAGATATGTTCACAACCGCTGTGGTCATCGTCGCTCCAGTGGAAATGCAGTTGTTCAAAGACGAAGTTATCATTTAACAAAGGTCCTCCTTTTAAGACGGGCAGTTCTCGATCGTAAAAAGTTAATGTTGCTGAAATAAGATTAAAAAAAAAACATTAAAAGAGACCGTAATTTATACCTATAGTTAGTCCTTTTTTCGGTCAATAAGTTTTGGTTCTACTTTGGTATGCGGTCTACTTATGTCGTGTGATCTACTTGAGATTTAATATGCACTTATGTAGTCGATCAGGTTGGGTTTGGTTAGGATTACGATACGAAAAGAAAATACGAATGAAGTGAGATATTAAATATTGTTTTTCGTTCGTGTTTAATGTTCGAGTTAGTTCTTTAGTTTTTAGGCCAAGTCATACATGCGCGCATTTGTACAGTCCATTTATTGAAAACCTGTTATCTGTATATAATTAATGCCACTACTCGTATGTATGCCTACCTGTAAAACCGTTATTGAACAAGTTGCCTGATCCAGCGACATCCCAATGTCCATGGAACTCAAGAGGTTCAAAGTGGTCGCACTCATTTGATTCTTCATGTTTGAGTTCGATCGGAGATTGCACCTTGTGCAAACGCCACTTTTCAACGATTATATTAGCATCTACGTTGATTTTTTCTGAAAAAAGAAACCTGAATGTTACCATTATAGTTTTCTGCTTGAGATTATTCAAAACGACGGACAATTTGAAGCGAATTGAATAACATTCCATTTGAATTTCTGATAATTGGATAATATTGAAAACTCATTCGATTTAATGTAGGTTATCAATCATCAATAAATTAAAAATTATGGGTAGGAGATTAAAAATTTTTTGTAACATTAAATGAATAAGTAATCACATGTGACGATGATTTAAATTATCGGGCAATTTCTTTTTGACTGCGACTGTATTAAGAACTGCTTTCATTAAACGGTTTATTGTCCTTTATTGAGTGTAATTTTAACATAACTTGTTTCACGTGATGGAGATTCTTCCTAAATAGAATTAAATATACGAAATGAGTCAACACAATTGGAAATGCGACGCAAATTTAACAGGATCGGATCTTCTTTTTCTTTATTTACTATTATCTAAGCTTGTTAAAAAAACATTTTTTTATTATTGATTGAGTGACTCATAGTAAATTCAAATAAAAAACAAAGAAAAAAGAGTGAAGTGATTATATAACTAGTTTTTTTTTGTTCTGTATTTTTTACCACAAATATGATGCCTGCCAATAAATTCTTTGAGCATTTTATTAAAACTAAAATTAAATCGATAGGGTTCGTCGCTTGATCTACTGTTGGAGTCTCTGCAGTTTTCGTCGAATAACTTGAAAACTAAAACGACTAGAAATTTTTTTTTTTAACAAAAGTTGCTCTACCTTTTAGTAGCTATCTAGCTAAATAGGTGCCATTTTAACAAGTCCTAAGTTTAACCGGTTTTAACCCATATTATTATCGTTTTACAGACTCGTACTACATAATTGCATAATTGAGCTGTAAAAAGTCAGTTATTTCATTAAATTAAATGATAATCATAACTGCATATAAACTCAAGTTTATATACTCATAATTAACTGAAATATGTACGTACTTATAGTAAAAAATAAAAATATTATAAGTACCTACTGATGCAATTTTCTTAATCGATTATCATATGTTCAAATGTTCAATCGACTGAATCGACGGATAACAGCAGCACGGGGAAGGCATTGTCGAGTAGGTCTTCAATTTTACGTAAAAACATAATCACAGCTTACGACCATAATGTATACGTGATTTTTTACGTTTATATTTGTCGAGCAATTGATGAGATCGTCGATGTGCTTTCAATTTTTGAAAGAAACGTATTTCC